AAATGGCTACTGTAGACTATGGTAGACTGTGGGCTGTATAAGCATCTAACCCATTTAAAGATGACCCACTTATGTAATTTTCTCTAAATCAAATGTTTTCTATCTATGAAAAAAATATTTTATTTGAGTAAATTACAAAAATTTTCTAGGCTGCTCTATTGTATAAATTTTCCTATTTTACTAGAACACCTCGCAAAATATATTAAAAGGTGTAGCATAATCCGTTATATTTTGAATATTATTTGTGTATTTAAAAGATGAGAGATTTTACCCATCAGAAAAACAATATCCGAAAGTTAGGATAAATGTTTTCCTCCTAAATTGGTATTTTATTTTTATTTCAGTAAATAAATACTTTTACTTTGTCACGGTTAATTCAACTAAAAGGAAAAAAATGGAAAAACTGAAAACATTTCAATTAGGAACTAAATTTTTTTTTCTTTTTCCTCTTTTTTTTTTTTTTTGGGTAAACTTTGTTTGTGTGCACAATGTGAAGTACATTGTTGGCCCTTCAAGAAGTTGAGAATAATTTCTTTGGAATACACCAGTTCTGTAGACAGCAAAGAAGATTAAAAAAAGGAAAGAAGACAAAAAGTAAAAGTAAATAAATAAATAAATAAGAAATATACCTTACTTAAGCATAGATTAATTCTATATTATGCATCTATAAAGACTGATTGCCCTTCGTGATGATCATAGCATACTTACAAGTGTTATCCGAAGATGACAAAATTAAAGTCAAGCCGGATGATTTTAATTTACATTGCATGATTTCTTGTGTTTATAGTTTTTTTTTCTCAAGTTTCATTTTCATCTCAAGCTCTATTATTGAATTGCTAGTTCAATTAACATTCTCGATATTGTGTTTTGAATAAACTCGTGAAGCAATCAAGAATATATTACTTTTTGTGGTCCTTTTACAATGCTGGTCACTTCAACTTTCTCGAACAATTTGAAAGCACCGTTTCTCACCAAACTTATAGCACTGTTTCATTTAGTCATCAATTCTTTTTTAAGTTTATCACCGAACTTTCATTTTGATTGGCGAATAGATAGAAGGCATAATCTAGCGGGTCTGGGAATTGTGTCGGAGAAGCTAACGAGGATAACTTTATAAGAAGTTGAGAATAATTTCTTTTGGAATACACCAGTTTTGTGGACAACAATGTGAAGCACATTGTTGGCCCTTCAAGAAGTTGAGAATAATTTCTTTTGGAATATACCAATTCTGTGGACAACAAAGAAGAATAATACACCAGTTTTGTGGAAAACATTGAGTGAAGCACATTGTTGGCCCTCCAAGAAGTTAAGAATAATTTCTTTGAAATACACCAGTTTTGTGGACAGCAAATAAGAATAATACATCAGTTCTTTGGACAACAATGTGAAGCACATTGTTGGCCCTCCAAGAAGTTAAGAATAATTTCTTTGAAATACACCAGTTTTGTGGACAGCAAATAAGAATAATACATCAGTTCTTTGGACAACAATGTGAAGCACATTGTTGGCCCTCCAAGAAGTTGAGAGTAATTTCTTTCGGAATACACCAGTTCTGTGGACAGCAAAGAAAAGTAAAGAAAAGGAAAGAAGACAAAAATTAAAAGTAAATAAATAAAAAATGTACCTTACTTATGCCTAGAGTAATTATATATTATGCATCTATAAAGATTGATTGCCCTTCTTGGTGATTATAGCATACTTACAAGTGTTATCTCAGTGGGAGAAGATGACAAAATTAAAGTCAAGTAAGATGATTTTAATTTACTTTGCATGATTTCTTGTGTTCATAGTTTTTTTTTTTCTCAAGTTTCGTTTTCATCTCGAGTTCTATTATTGAATTGCTAGTTCAATTAACATTCTCGATATTGTGTTTTGAATAAACTCGTGAAGCAATCAAGAATATATTACTTTTTGTGGTCCCTTTACAATGCTGGTCACTTCAACTTTCTCGAACAATTTGAAAGCACCGTTTCTCACCAAACTTATAGCACTGTTTCATTTAGTCATCAATTCTTTTTTAAGTTTATCACCGAACTTTCATTTTGATTGGCGAATAGATAGAAGGCATAATCTAGCGGGTCTGGGAATTGTGTCGGCAAAGCTAACGAGGATAACTTTATAAGAAGTTGAGAATAATTTCTTTTGGAATACTCTAGTTTTGTGGACAACAATGTGAAGCACATTGTTGGCCCTTCAAGAAGTTGAGAATAATTTCTTTTGGAATATACCAGTTCTGTGGACAACAAAGAAGAATAATACACCAGTTTTGTGGAGAACATTGAGTGAAGCACATAGTTGGCCCTCCAAGAAGTTAAGAATAATTTCTTTGGAATACACCAGTTTTGTGGACAACAAATAAGAATAATACATCAGTTCTTTGGACAACAATGTGAAGCACATTGTCGGCCCTCCAAGAAGTTGAGAGTAATTTCTTTTGGAATACACCAGTTCTGTGGACAGCAAAGAAAAGTAAAGAAAAGGAAAGAAAACAAAAATTAAAAGTAAATAAATAAAAAATGTACCTTACTTAAGCATAGAGTAATTATATATTATGCATCTATAAAGATTGATTGCCCTTCTTAGTGATTATAGCATACTTACAAGTGTTATCTCAGTGAGAGAAGATGACAAAATTAAAGTCAAGTAAGATGATTTTAATTTACTTTGCATGATTTCTTGTGTTCATAGTTTTTTTTCTCAAGTTCTATTTTCATCTCGAGCTCTATTATTGAATTACTAGTTCAATTAACATTCTCGATATTGTGTTTTGAATAAACTCGTGAAGAAATCAAGAATATATTAATTTTTGTGGTCCCTTTACAATGCTGGTCACTTCAACTTTCTCGAACAATTTGAAAGCACTGTTTGTCACCCAACTTACATCACTGTTTCATTTAGTCATCGATTCTTTTTTAAGTTTATCACCGAACTTTCATTTTGATTGATGAATAGATAGAAGGCATAATCTAGCGGGTCTGGGAATTGTGTCGGAGAAGCTAACGAGGATAACTTTATAAGAAGTTGAGAATAATTTCTTTTGGAATACACCAGTTTTGTGGACAACAATGTGAAGCACATTGTTGGCCCTTCAAGAAGTTGAGAATAATTTCTTTTGGAATACACCAGTTTTGTGGACAACAATGTGAAGCACATTGTTGGCCCTTCAAGAAGTTGAGAATAATTTCTTTTGGAATATACCAGTTCTGTGGACAACAAAGAAGAATAATACACCAATTTTGTGGAGAACATTGAGTGAAACACATTGTTGGCCCTCCAAGAAGTTAAGAATAATTTCTTTGGAATACACCAGTTTTGTGGACAGCAAATAAGAATAATACATCAGTTCTTTGGACAACAATGTGAAGCACATTGTTGGCCCTCCAAGAAGTTGAGAGTAATTTCTTTTGAAATACACCAGTTCTGTGGACAACAAAGAAAAGGAAAGAAGACAAAAATTAAAAGTAAATAGATAAAAAATGTGCCTTACTTAAGCATAGAGTAATTATATATTATGCATCTATAAAGATTGATTGCCCTTCTTGGTGATTATAGCATACTTACAAGTGTTATCTCAGTGAGAGAAGATGACAAAATTTAAGTCAAGTAAGATGATTTTAATTTACTTTGCATGATTTGGTGTGTTTATAGTTTTTTTCTCAAGTTTCCTTTTCATCTCAAGCTCTATTATTGGATTTCTAGTTCAATTAACGCTCTCGATATTGTGCTTTGAATAAAACTCATGAAGTAATCAAAAATATATTACTTTTTGTGGTCCCTTTACAATGTTGGGCCCTTCAACTTTCTCGAACAATTTTAAAGCACTATTTGTCACCCAATTTACAGCACTATTTCATTTAGTCATCAATTCTTTTTTAAGTTTATCACTGAACTTTCATTTTGATTGGCGAACAGATAGAAGGCATAATATAGCGGGTTTGGGAATTGTGCCAGAGAAGCTAACTGAGGATAACTTTATAAGAAGTTGGGAATAATTTCTTTTGGAATACACCAGTTCTGTGGACAATAATGTGAAGCACATTGTTGGCCCTTCAAGAAGTTGAGAATAATTTCTTTTGGAATACACCAATTCTGTGAACAGCAAAGAAGAATAGTACACCAGTTTTGTGGACAACATTAAGTGAAGCACATTGTTGGCTCTTCAAGAAGTTGAGAATAATTTCTTTGGAATACACCAGTTCTGTGGACAACAAAGAAGAATAATTCACTAGTTTTGTGGACAACAATGTGAAGCACATTGTTGGCCCTCCAAGAAGTTAAGAATAATTTCTTTGGAATACACTAGTTCTGTGGACAGCAAAGAAAAATAATAAACAAGTTCTGTGGACAACAATGTGAAGCACATTGTTGCCTCCCCCCCCCCCCCCCAAAAAATGGGGGAAATTTTTTTTTTTTTATATAAGGATCAGATATCCGATAACATAGCAAATCAAATATGGATTTAACAATCAAATATTCGTTGGATTATCGGATTGGATCGAATAGGATAATATTTCTAAACGGATCGGATCAGATCCGGGCAGATCCGATATATTTACAGCCCTAATTTGTACATAGGCATCAGTAAAATAAATATTTCGAGACAAAGCACGTAGAAAGCAAGGTGAAAAAATGCAATACCGTTCAGGTCCATGCTATCTTTATCAATCACCTCACAAAATAACAAAACGTTTGATAGAATTTCAGAAAGGTGTGTAGAGTTTATGATTCAATACATTTGCATTATAAACTGTATCGGAGTAGAGTTTTACCCAAGAAGTTGAGAGTAATTTTTTTTTTTGGAATACATCTAGATAGCAAAGAAGAATAAAGAAAAGGAAAGAAGACAAAAAGTAAAATTAAATAAATAAAAAATGTACCTTACTTAAGCATAGAGTGAATTACATATATAAAGACTGATTGCCCTTCTTGATGATCCTAGCATACTTACAAGTGTTATCCCAGTGAGAGAAGATGACAAAATTAAAGTCAAGTAAGATTATTTTAATTTACTTTGCATGATTTGGTGTGTTTATAGTTTTTTTCTCAATTTTCCTTTTCATCTCGAGCTCTATATTGAATTTCTAGTTCAATTAACATTCTCGATATTGTGCTTTGAATAAACTCATGAAGTAATCAAGAATATATTACTTTTCGTGGCCCCTTTACAATGTCGGGCATTTCAACTTTCTCGAACAATTTGAAAGCACTGTTTGTCACCCAACTTACAGTACTGTTTCATTTAGTCATCAATTCTTTTTTAAGTTTATCACTGCATTTTCATTTTGATTGGCGAACAGATAGAAGGAATAATCTAGCGGGTCTTGGAATTGTGCCGAAGAAGCTAACTGAGGATAACTTTATAAGCTGGAAAAATTGCTTGACAAATTATTTGGTTGGAAATGGGCTTTGGGGTGTTGTCTCTGCTCAGGAGATTGAACCAGATAAGACAAATAAGCAAGAGCATGAAAAATGGAAGAAAAAGAATGCTTTAGCTTTGCATGCAATTCAACTTTCATGTGGACAAGCAATATATTCAAAGTTTAAAAATGCCAACATTAATGCTAACTACGTATGGACTCAGTTGGCCGAAAAAGGAGATCACGACAAAGAAAGTCAAGTCGAAGATAATGGTAATTCCTCAATCTTTGTGTTGAACTAGGCCGTCTAAAATTTTATTGTGTTATAAGAAATGTGAAATTGCACTCTAGGTTCTCAATCATTAAAAATGAGCAAAGAACAATGTGGTGGTGCCGATCTTCCCTCTTATTTATAGACGGCGCCACATGAGGTCATGTGGGGTCAATTGACCTCACAAAAACTTCCGACTCTTTTTTTTTTATTTTTTTATTTTTTTGTGAGTTGTGAAATTTATAAATTATTCAAACTTCTTGCCAAACTTATTTTTTTTAATATGTAAATTAAACAAAATTTTGCTCATCGTCAAAGTCCAATTGCACAAGCCCATTGCCAAGCCCAATTGTCCTCAAGCCCCACGGAGAGAAGAGAAGAGAAGAAGAAAATGAAGAATCGACTGACCTAAAGAGTTCGAGATTGCCAATTCACAATTCATATTTTGAGATTTTCTTTTCTTGTGCCAATTTTGTGATTTTTTTTCCATCTAGGTAACAAATATATCATCTACTTGTTTGACATTTGTTTTTCTTCCATCTAGGTAGCTCCATAACAAACCTATATTAATTGAATTTGGACTTGGCTTTAGTTTTTCCTGTTAATTTGGATCTTTAATTAGTTGCTTTTAATTTTTAAATTTGAGATATGCAAGTGTATTTCTACTTGTTGAAATTTGAAAAATATATTATGACCCTGTTTGACATACATCTTTTTTTTTTTTCCAAAAAATATATTCTTAAATTGTAATTTGACTTCATTTCAACCACACATTTTTCAATAAAATAATATTGCACGCAAATTCAAAACTTTTCTTATTTTTTAATACACATTTTCCATCAATACACCATTCAAAAATGCATTCGCAAGAAAATAATGTGGCTCAAACAAGAGCTACATATATACATATATATATAATGTACCCTTGTCCGTTTGACCCCACAATACCAAATGTCTAGCTCCGTCCCTGCTCTTATATAGTGAACTCTGTATTTGACACAACTCCCTCACATTCAGGCTGACTTCATTGTTTGTAGGGTTGAGCGAGTACCTTGAATACGGACCCTTATACGAGGCAATTGAAAAAGGTAATTGGCATGATATAGAAGGTTTCTTTCAGGAGAAGACACTGCCATTTAGTGAAAGTGTTTCATCACACAAAGAGACAGCTCTGCACATTTCAACTTTATCTGGACAGATTGAAATTGCGAAAAAACTTGTAAAATTGATGGACCCAAAACATTTAGAACTGAAAAATGAACATGGAGCTACGGCCTTATCTTTTGCTGCAATTTGTGGTGCGACGGAATTGGCCAAGGAAATGGTAAGCATGAACAAAGAATTAGTTACAATAGAAACTGCAGGCCAAGAATATGGGCAACTTCCTGTGATTGTGGCTGCATTGTATAAACAGAAGGGCATGGTTCATTATTTATACAATAAGACGCCAAAAGATGTGCTGAGTCCCGAAAAGGGTGCAAATGGAGTCACACTACTTAATTACCTTATTACTGCTGAAATTTATGGTAAGTGAATGCATAATGTGGAGTCTAATCATGCTCTATGAGGATAAAGCCCCTTGGGATATTGCCATGGAATTGTGCCAGGCGTGAGATGGCATATTATGATTGGCAATGTTAAAATAATTTTTTTGTCAAACTGCCAATCAAAGTTTGCCTAGTGTGAATTTAAAATTCCATGGCAATGTAGCATGATCGGCTCTCTGTTAATTTCGTCAATTGCAGATAAACGTAATAGTAATGCGCGTAAACAAGATTTTCAATTTTGTTGGTGGTAATTTTGTTTCACAACGTGCTTCTCCATTTGAGCGTGAAACATTGAAAATTTCTGTTTGGATACAATTTATAATATGCTTAATAAACCTAGTTAAAGTCCACCATTAATTTGAATCACACATTCATAACTCCTATTCATTACTATAAAAAATTTAGTGGGTCCCAGTACTATTCCTCTTTATAAATTGATTTATAAATTTGTCAAATGAAGGCTATATGTTTTCTGATTTTGTTTTAGTAAAAGTTGCAATCGCAATTGAGATTTGGGCTTAATTCTCTAGACAAGTATACCTAATTCTAACTATTTTCGTACTGTAGATGTTGCTTTGTTGCTATTGGAAAAGTATCCACAGCTGGGTGTTATCCCAGATGTTAATGGCAATTACGCTCTCCGAATATTGGCTCAAAGGCCTTCTGCATTTCTTAATGGGACTGAACTTTCATTTTGGGAAAAATTGATCTACTATTGTAAGTATGTAATTGGTCACCTATTAATTTCATTCACAAACAATGTACCACAAGGGTACATTTAGATCAACTTTAGTTTCTTAGTCGTACTGTCTAATACAATATACAAATGTGCCATAAACTCACTTGTTGAACATGATCGTTTTGAAAAGTATTCTGTGTCTAAACTTTTTACATAAGGTGTAAGAGTACACGAAGAGCATGTAGAAATGCAAACATCAAGCACTTGTCATGATCACAACATTCAAATTCCTGAATCAATCGATGAAGATTTGGGAGGAAGGATAGCACATGGTGGCCTAACTATAACTAATCGAGGTACATCAGATTACGTCACACTCCCCTTTTTTTCGATTTTCTTCACACCCTAAATTTAGTTTAGAGGTATAAATTAGGCGAGTATGACTCCTGAACCTTCACTAGCTCAGCTCAGCCAGTGCATCCCATGCCTAAGCCTTTTTAAATTTATTTTGAACACATGGATCCATGTGTTAACTGTAGATTTGGGCTGACTACACCATGTCCTAGTCCGGCTGTGCTTTCATGTGTCAAGTGGCCCTAGGCTTTGATAACCCACTACATTTTGACACCTATAAATAAATTCTTGTTGTGCAGCTCTACAGTTGGTGCGCAAATTGGGTTGGGGGATATTGCAATCCATTGGTATGTATTATCTTCCTATATATATAGCTTCTGCTACAGATATGTACTGAAAATCAATTACACATGAAATGTCATTTAACATTAGTTTTATTAATTTTCAGTTCCAAAGATCCGTTACATATACCGAAGGAAGTCAGTCCACGTCCAAGTTAGGAAATTCCTGAGGGTCGTGTTTAAAAAAATGCTACAACTGAGCAAACCAGAGCTCGAAAAAATGGACTTGGATATAATAATAAATGATGCCATAGAGAATGGAATTTTTGAATTTATAGATGAAATGATTAAATGTGCACCAGAAATTATATGGAGGAAAGATAAAAAAGGGAGAACAATTTTTTCGAACGCAATTATATCACGTCAAGAGAAGATTTTTGGCCTTATATTTACTTTAGGAAAAGAGAAGTGTCTAATGGGAATGAGGTATGATATTTTTGACAACAATTATTTACATCTTGCTGCAAAATTATCTCCTCCTTCTCGACTTGATAATGTAACTGGAGCAGCACTACAAATGCAAAGGGAACTGCAATGGTTTAAGGTAATGTATTTTGCTCCGGTACATGATTGTGTGTGTGTATGTGTGAATGCATGTGTATGTATACCGTTATGATTGTTATTCGAGCCATTGCATCTGCAAACTTAAGCTGATGAAAGAAATCATAAACTTATCTATTTGAATTTTATATTAAATGTGTTCCCTCTCTATAACACCTACACAGTTCTCATAAATATGTGAATTATCAAAGACATAATTCACATAAATAACATTGTCTTTTTTCTAAAAGTTTAAACTTTAGATGAGATAATTCAATATGATATTATTGTGAAAATAATTAAAGGCATAATTCAAGTCTTGTCACCATCTATTTATGAAAAATTGTGCACTTGATTTCGTCCCTAAAATTCACAATATTTTGTTTACTCTAATGCTGCACATTCATCTAACTCATCTAAAATTGAATCGTCATTCTATGTTATTTCTTCCTATATGCAGGAAGTCGAGAGCTTGGTTCAACCCAAATTCAAAGAGGAACTAAACAGCCACAACAAAACACCGAAAATTTTATTCACTGATGAACACGAGAAGTTAGCCAAAAAAGCAGAGGACTGGATGAAAAGTACAGCAGGGTCAAGCATGATAGTGGCAACTCTAATTGCTGCTGTAATGTTCACAACAACTTTCACAGTACCAGGTGGTAATAAAAATGAAACAGGAATGCCAACAATGCTGGAAACTCAAAGAATTCCATTCTTGATTTTCATGATTTCGAATGCCCTATCAATGTTCAGTTCAAGTACATCACTGTTGATTTTCTTGGGAATTCTTACGGCGCGTTATGTAGAAGATGATTTTCTAAAGTCCTTACCGACAAAATTAATATCTGGACTGATGAGTTTGTTCCTTTCGATTGTTACCATGATGGTATCCTTTGGTGCTGCATTGTATTTGATTCTTCATGAGAATTTGTCTTGGGTCACCGTTCCTATCATCATCCTTACAATGATTCCAATAGTTCTTTTCTCCATCTTGCAGTTTCCTCTCTTGATTGAGATGACCCAACGGACTTATGGAGCTGGTATATTTGATGAATATAAGAAGAAATCCCGTTTTGCCAAGTTCAGAGCATGTTTGATAAGGAGGAATCCATTGAGAAAGAAAAGAAATTAAAAATTTTATAGGTCTTACTATGGAGTACTATTGAATAAGGTGTCCCAAATGTGTTGTTAGCTCATTTTGGTTTCTGTCATTTTAAGTAATGGTGTATCCATGGTGCTTTTTCTTATGAATAATTCATGTATTGGATCTAATTGAGTGTCTCTTAGAATTCCGTTGTTTGAAGAGTCATCTTGAATTAGTAGCATGTACAAATAGAACCACATATAGCAATATTTTGTAATGCAAATACGAAGTGAATTTCAGATTATATATCTCCAAATTATCTTGCCTTCAAACTGGTATTAAAGTCTTGAAAAAGAAAAAAAAATACTGTCCAACAATCTTGTTTCTCTTGTGCCTCATTTTAATGGAAAAAATTTGATTAATATTTCATTCATCAACAATCCATAAATTTATTCATCCATAAATAAATCCAATCATTCAAATAAACGCATAAAACAACCCTAGGAATAGCTCAACTATAAAATCATGCAATAAAGGGAAATGTTATTTGTACTCGGCAAGTTAGAGAGAAGGGGTCGAGCCCCACACATTTATTGGCTTGGGGCCCCCAACCCCCATGTGAATACCACGTAACATGGAGTGTCAAACTCCGGGTACCTGTAGCAAAACTCTGCAATAAATCAAGAATTAGAATTACGACACACGATTTTAGACCTACATTCTAGTAGCACTTTTTGGAAACTGGTCTGTTAGGATTAGGGGGAAAAAATTCAAAATAAGTTTAATGGACCAGATCTTTACTAGATTACTATGTGTTGCATTTCTAATTAATTGCCACACAAGTGATTATATGTTACACCTATTCCGAGCAATTAATTTCTTTGTCTTCTGTCTTGAGGTTGATTGATTTGCAAGCTTTCAAATTAGATACCATCCAATAATTACTCCTTCCTTGACCTACAAACTTCTAACACTTAGACCTTATCTCTAATCTTCTCCACAGCCTAGTTGCACTTGATTTATGGCACCAATTATCGAATTCCTAGTCCTCAAGAACTCAATAGAAAATATTATGATATCAAGAACTCTCTCAATTAATGGAAGTTACATTGAATATGTATGTTCTTTCACGGTCTATATATATATATATATATATAACTAAATAGTTTTGTTCATTGTTCCAACACAATTGGGATTCAAATTATAAAGGAACCAAGTTATATACACAATCAAATTCCTTTTAGGACTTGTACAATCCCGAATTTTGACTCATCAAGGTCGTCTTTGCTTTTGATCAATGGCTGACTTTAGTAAAGTTTGACCTAATCAACTATGCAACCTGTCAATTCAATTATTACCATAATTAAATCAAAATTTTTATTTTAAGCTATCAAAGGCACCTAATTGGACCTACATAATTCAAGCTTCAGTTCGTTTGGGCCCAATAACTCGGAAGAAAGATCGGAAAATAGAGAAAAATTGCGAAATTCCAAGTTCTAGGACTACTGTGCCCTAAGTCCTAGTTCCTTTAGTCAAGTCAAAAGTCAAGTTGTAATTATAATACTTTGATCAACCTTTATCTGTTGGTCAAATATGTCAAGCACCAAAAATGAAAAAAATAAAATAAAATAAAATAAATTTAGATGATCAAGTTCAGGCGGTGGATGGGTGGTGGGGACCACCTTTAAGCATTTGTATGAATCCAAATTTTTGTCAATATAAATCCATTACCAACAATTTATATAGAGAGAAACGAGAACTAAGAGAAAATAAGAGGAAAGAAGAAAAATCAGAAAATTGAAAAAAGGAAGAATAGCTTTAACCATGGACTCATTTTATTCTTGTGCTTGAAGTTGATTCCTGTTTTGGCTACAAAAATGAGGCAAGAAATGAAATTGCAAATTTCAAGAATCTGCAATATTTATGAGTTTAGGTGTCTTAATTATGCCGGAAATTTAAATGGGAGAAAGAGATTAAGGAGATGAAGGACTTCAAATTAAGCCCTTGTTTGAGAAAAATTACATTACATTACATTACATTCTATTTTTCTCTCTCCTATTTTCAACCACACAATCTTCCATAAAATAATATTACACGTAAATCGAAAATTTTTCTTTCTTTTTCAACCACTCATTTTTCAAAAAACACTATTCTATACATTAAATTTTCCCCGTAATGGGGGCCAAACAGAGAAAGGAGTGAAAAGGCTCTGTGTGTGTGTGCCCGCGCGCGCGTGTGAATTGCAGAGACTAAGTTAGAAATTGGAAAATTAAGTGCTAACATATAAGGGAAGATGTGTATGAATAATTTAAAAAGAAAAAAAATCATGGTGGGGGAATAGGTTGTGTAACAGTTATAAAATTTATTTATCCATGGCTGAAAAGGGACTTATTTGGAATATACTCTTGTGTTTCAGGAAATGACGAGAAGATGTCGTAATAGTTTATCAATCAAGTTAATCTCCCTTACATAGTTATGTGAGTGGAAAAAATTTATATATTTTCAAATATCAATAAGGTACTTATTCTATTATATTACGTGCAATTATGTGAATTATTTGTTCGATTACATGATTAATATGGAAAGGTTCTTTCATTGTGATATATGTGGAATTTAAAGTTTAGGATATGGATTATTTGTGAATTGGAATGCGAGACATATATGATATTGAGATCGATGAGAAGCGTACCCATGATTATATATTTCTTCTAATTTATTGAGGGCCTTAGCTGTATTATATACTATATTGAGGGGTCTTCAATTGTGGATGAAGAGGTCTTCACCGTGTACATATAGTTCATTGAGGGGCATTGGCCGTGTTATAGAATTGATTATCAGAGGTATTAAGACCGGCTTTCGTTCACGGAGGGGGCCAAAGGCTCGTGGCAAAAGTTCTTAGCCCGAGGGGTGGTTTACAAATTTCAGTCATAAGGTACATTTTTTGTGGATTTTTCAGTACATTTGATATGATGAGATTATAGTATGATTACCAGCTTATGTTCATATCATGACTTGAGATTATATTTTACGACGTTATATGAATATCTCAATTTTTGGCTGTATTATATATTGTTATCTTGTGAATTATTAAATGATATGAACATGATTTTGATAAAATGTATAAATGAAAAAGTATAATTATTTTCAAAATTCTGCACTCATTGAGCTATCAACTCATATATTCTCTCATGATTATTCTTACCAAGTAGCAACTGAGTTTTGGCAGCTTGAATAGCCTATTGATTTTAGAGCCACAACCACATGACAGTTTAGGTTATTATGCCATTTGAATTGAGCATGTAAATATTACTTTGGGCTAACATTATTTTGACATAAAATAGTTTTTTTTCCATCATTTAGAATGATTGGTAAAGGTCAAAGATAGGCTCGGTGGTAGGTTCGGCGTGTATATGGAGTCAACAATTCGCGCACGTCACGTTTCGGATCCACTGGAGTGATTCAAGATGAGTCGTGTTGGTATCAGAGCATCGTTCAATAATAATTTTATTTTTATTTTTTATTTCTATTTTTTTAATAGCTTGAGTAGTTTATGAATTTCTTCTTTCACCATAACAGTTTCATTGGGATTGCTAATCATGTGGTGTGGTGGCAAAGTTCACGGGCTGTAATATTTTGTTGCAAAATTCATATTGCAATCGAAATATAAAGAAGAAGGCATGGAAGTTGAGATTATGTAAGCATTTGTATCATAGATTGAGCCATTGAGGAATAACCCCGACATGAAAATGTTGAGAAGGACCCTACTGTTGAAAGGATTACTATTGGAGTTGATTCTATATATATGTAACAGAAAATAGATGAAAAATACATTGTTGAGGAGACAGTGAATTTGGCCGAAGGATTTTGATGATTTTGGCATATTTCCAGTATAGATACATTTGAACTAATGGTGCGCAGCTACCTAAATAAGTTGTCTATTTGATTACGGATTCTTTTACGAGTGTGCTGAGGATTGAAAAATCTTGTCATACATGTGTACTTGGAGAAGAATCTGTGATGGAATTATGATTATCTTGAGGAATTAAATAATGGGTTACCAAAATGAGAAAGATAAGTAGAGACAAATGGAGGTTAGAGAAGGAAAAATTATTTGGCGGGTTACTTGGAGGTGTAGAAAATCGGAAGGTAAGGAGATAGAAAATGATTAGTTAAAGAGAGGAATGAAATTGAGGGCAATGAAATCATATATGGTAATGACAGTATAGCAACTAAGGGAAATGGTGGGAAAAAGAAGAAGAAGAATTGGTTAACCTAGGACTGAGGAAAGGGAAAGAGGAGTTTTGAGCTTGGTTCTCTTTCGCTCTTAAATTCTGGCATAAGTTAAGGAAATTTTGCGATTTCAAGAATCTGTTAATGTTTTACGTGTACATATATTTGTGAAATCGAAAAAAAAAATGATAAGGAGAAGAGCGATAAATTGATATAATGGAGAAACAAGGTAGAATTATAGTGAGGAAGAATTTAATTTTGGTACTAAGTGGGGTTGCTTCATCTTCAATGTTAATCCAATATTCAATTTTTAAAGTGTTATATAGGCAGGCTTTTATGTATAGTGAATAGAGAAGGAAAAAAAATGATTCCACTGAATATAATGAATTAAGAGAGTTCTGATTAATTGATATGGACAATTGTAATTGATGGGTATGTGCAAGAGGAAGAAGAATAAGAATAAGAACAATAATAATAGTAAGAGTAGTAGTAGTAGCGGCGGCGGCGGTAGCAGGTAGCAGCAGTAGCAGTAGTAGGAGTAGTAGTAGTAGCAGCAGCAGCGGTAGTAGTAGTAGTTGGGACTCATCCTCAAGTTTCTTGTTTCATCTTCCAATTACAGTAATTATTTTCGATTAGAAAGTGATTGCAATTGAATATGAATTATCCTTAATAAAAGATAACGTGAAAGGAGAAATGGGATGGAAAATGGAAACACATACAGGTTCTCTGCATCAGTGGACTGGAATGGGAAATAGAAAATAATGAGCAATAGATGAAGTTATAAAATCTGCTATTCATTTATCAGTTAGTGTATACTAAAAGCTAGGATAACCAATAAATGTGGACCTTGATTAGACGTGATGGTATTTTTAGTTTTTGTTGTTGCAGAACAGATTCTAGAAACTTATAAGTAGGTTATGGGATCATCTTATGCTAACAGGGAATGAAGTCTAGTGGTGAGAAACAAGGTAATCAAGATTATAAATATTGACAAGGAAGCAAAGATAGTTTCTTGATGTTGGTTGTTTTTGTTTTGTTTGAGCAAAGCCAAAGAAATTGAAACAGAGAAGTTGTGCCTAA